AATTGTGAGAAAACCTATATTAAAAAATACATTATCTACAATTCTGCTAAGCAGAAATCTTTATTCCTGGCACTTTGGTACTTCTCAAGTTCAATGATAACTGGGTTTTATACTCAAAAGCACTATAAAATTTAGTGTTAATTAAACATAATTATAATCCCATTATGTTTAAGTTATAACCACACTCCAAACGAGATGCACAAAATGTACATGGAAGAAAAATAAATTTCAGTTTGAGTCTCAGCTTGGCCCCTATCAGATTCCACGGCCTGTGGCAATACAGTTTCTTCTCATTGGAAGTTTTCCCATCTATAAAATGGTATCATCACTTGCCTTATTTTTTGTACTCCTAAAGCTTGTTTTAACGTCAAATGAAATGATAGGGCTTCATGTATTTTGTTAGATAAAGAAGATGCACACACACATACAGTGGAATATTACTAAGACATGAAATTTTGCCATTTGCAACAACATGGACGAACTTGGAAGACGTTATGCTCAGTGAAATGTCAGACAGACAAAGACAAAGACTGTGTGTTATCACTTACATATGGAATCTAAAAAAATGAAATAAGTGAATATAACAAAGCAGAAAGGAACTTACAGGTATGAGAACAGACTAGTGGTTACCAGCAGGGAGAGGCAAGTGGGGAGGGGAAATAAGAGTAGGGATTAAGGAGGTACAAATGACTATGTATAAAGTAAATAAGCTACAAGGATATATTATACGGCACAGGGGATACAGGCCATATTTTATAATAACTAAATGAAGTATAATCTATAAAAATACTGAATCACTATGTTGTACGCCTGAAACTAACATAATATTGTAAATCAACTGCACTTCAATTTTAAAATGAGCAATTATCTACCATTTTCCTCCCTACCATCCCCTCCTGCGCTCTTCCTATAATCCCTCCAACTCATGATCTCATTTCACTGTGGCTCACCGAGTCTGAAAAACAACTGTGGAACTGACAATATGCTAGGAGCTGACAAACAACATTTCACTTTAACTCTAAAATGAAGAAAACCTTCAAGCTTGCCCTATTTTCCCAAATAGATGAGAAAGATAAAACTCAGAAAGAAAAAAAAAACCTCCCCACTATTACACAGTAAATAAATGGTAACATTAATAATCAAACCCAGGTCGATTTGATTCCACATTTAAATCTTGTCTGTATCTACCACGTTGTCTCTAGTCATTGTATTATGCTAAAATCAGTTCCTTTTCCCCTTGTCAGTTCTTTTTCAAATGAACAAGCCTCAAAAGGCAGAGAACCTAATAGAAAAAGAATCAAGAGACTCAAACAGGTACTTTACAAAAGCAGCTATTCCACTGGTCAATAAATATACAAGAAGGTGCTTGATTTCAATAGTCATCAGAGATATACCAAGTCAAGCCCTGTATAGGGGCACTTGTTGACTCAAAGACAACTTCAGGTTTGGGTGAGGCACTGGTGCTAAGAGTAAATTGATTGAACCACTTTGGAACTCTTCCTCAGTACTGACTTAAGCTGAATAATGTATATGCCCTATGACTGAGCATTTTATTCCTAGATTTATACTTGACAGAAGTGCTTACGTAAGCATCAATAAAAGAATATGTCACAAATATTTATAACAGCAGTATTTACAATAGCCCCACACTGGAATATACCTGAATGCCTCTCAAAAGCAGTTATGGGTCATTATATTCTGGTCTAGTCACATAATGGAATACGATACAGCCAGGAGAAACAACAGGCAACAGATGTAACTATGTGCAACCATATGGGTTAATCTCCTAAGAGAATGATGAATGACATTAACCAAACAAAAAAAAAAGTAGATATGGAATGAGTCCATTTATATAAAATTTGGAAACAGGAAAACAGCCTCCATGATGCTGTAAGCCAGATTAGAGGGTACTGCGGAGGAACGGGGAGCTGACTGGTGAGGTGGGGATTGGATAAGGGTTCTGACATTACTTGGATTCTTGATTTTGCTATTGTTACACAAAGTTGTTCACTTTGGGAACTTTCATCAGATTTGACACTTAAGATTTCTGCACTTTACTGCATGGAAGCTACACTTCAATAGAGTTTACCCCAAAAGAGTCAGTATCAATCTCTGCTCCCCCAAAGCATGCAAATGTCCATATTTTAGAAGTGTTGTACAGAGATGCACACTCAACTTACGAGGCTTCTATATCTTTTTATGTTTAAGAGTATTTATTCAGCTGACAGATTTTGTTGTCATTTAATAAAATAACAATAGAAGGACAGTTGAAATAAAAGTAGGAATTATGTCTGAGTTACGGAGCTAGCTTCTAAAAGAATGATTGTTTGCTATAAATAAAATCTTGAAGACTAGATCATGAGTTCAAATACTCAGTAATGCCAAAAAGAGGCTTATGCATCAAGTCTTACAGAGAAGGAGAAGGGCCACAGACTATAGGGCAGTCACCGGACAATTTTTGAATATGAAGACAACATCACACACATTAGGAGAGGGCTTCTAATAAAGGTGACAGCGGTGGAAGGGAAAAACCTAGAAACAAAAGACTATAGCAAATGTATGTAACTTTATTCAAAACCCACAGAACTTTCGTATTCTTTCTGAGACAAGGTGAGACTAGGAGGAGTCCTTGAGAGAACTGTCATACTAAAATAAGGTATAAGAAGTAGTGGAGGATTGAGATATACATACAAACACATTATACTAATAACCAAATTATACAAATGACTGAATTATACATTATACCTAATATGTGCATTTTTACATATACACACACTTAATGCCAAAGTTTTAGTTGGAATTTAATACCAGCATGGCCTAAGTCATCATCCCACTAAATTGATCATAAATTAGAGAAAGGCCACCAGGACAGTCCACTTAATGGATGAGGCCTCATCACTCCTGCAACCTATGGGTTTGGGTGTCCTTTGCCCTGCTATCCACCTGTTTATTCAGTGAGCAGCTTCCTGACTCTACGTGTTGTCTGCTTGGCAGGCAAGTGAGAACTCTCATAGTCAGATACATACATGAAGAGTTCTTTTCCTCCAAGGAAAATGAAATATGTTTCGGACTTAACATGCTACAGTGCTGGGTTGACTATCTATATAAAGAAAACGGCAATCCATACATTAAACTGCCAGAGAAAAGAGGCTAGAATAGCAGCAAGTGGGTTACAGGTTAGAGTTCCCGAGAGAGAAATGATCTAAAATAAAGGAAAACTTGTTTCTAGTGACCAAGGTATATGAATTTCTTTTATCTTCAAGGTATATTTGTGCTGTATGTTTTGTGGCTCCTTCACCAAAACATAGGGCAAAAAAAGTTTGAAAATTAGCAGATGAACCATATCTCTAACCTTTCAGTAGAGACCCCGGAAAATATGGTTTATGCTGTCTCTTCTATTTATTTACATGTTCAATGTCAGAAAAAGGACAAAAATAAGCTGGGTTAAAAAAAATGACTATTTTGTTTGAGGCTTTCAGATTCTTTCAGAATTCCTCTAGTGAGAAGGCTACATATTCACAGATTTCTTCTCATTCATTATATAAGAACAAACAGAAATACATGAAACTATGGAATTGTCAATCTTCATGAGTCTATAAAAATACAGATTTTAAATTTCAAATGATTTCTATCTTTAATTTCAAGATTTTCTTTATGTGGATAATTTTATACCTTAAAAACTTCCTAATACTTATTTCCAAATCCTATTTAAAAGCAATTAATCTTGATGTTGGAAAAAATCATTCCTGCAGATGTCGTCTTTAAAAATCTTTGCTGGCTATGTCACTACTACATTTATTCCTTACATGTCAACTGTTGAGTCCAAATGACAAATGACCCTGAGTAGATAACTGTTACGAAAATCTTTAAGTTAAAGAGACTTGGTAAGCTTTTACTATTTAATAAAATTGAATATACTATTTAATAAAATTGAATATTCTCTTTAAGATCTGATAGGAATACAACTATCCCTTTCACAGCCCTGGTCTCTAACTTTATTAGGTTGATCATATCAGATTTTGACCTTGTTTGTCCTGGACGTGTCACATATGTCTCTCATAGTGGCCAATTGTCCAAGGTCACAGATTTCTTTACATTCTGCCCTTAAGTATTGATGAGCTCTTTGTCGATTTCCTATTCGTTTTGCAGCCAGGAATCTCAGATCAGTGTTAAGCGATTCAGCACTGCAGTTTGTCCAGCCTGCATAAACCTCTTGTTCCCTTTCACATCACTCCCCGAAAATCAAGTAGCCGCATGCAATGCAAAAGGAGGCTGGAAATAAAGCCAGCACTTCCTCCGAGCTTGTCGGCTAGCAGACTGCACTGCATCTTTCAATTAGCATCCAATCATTTTAAGTAGTGATACTTCAGTGTTTGTATAAGCCTGCCTTGTAGAATTTAATACTCAGACAGCCATTTTGCAAAACACAGCAGGTCCATGAAATAAGGGCTATTTCAGTGAAAGAGTCACAGAATGATAAAGCTGCTGTAAATGCTGGCGTAACTGCAACAGCTGTGTCATGCATCAAATAATTATCATCTACTCTTTTTCTAAAGCTGTTCAAAATAGGATTTAAAAGGAGCTTCTGTGGCTATCTTAAATTTGACGAACTCTGTGGTATCCCTCCCTAAAAAGATTTTTTTTCATGCCATCATTCAAAGATGAAAACAGCACTACTCTACGTAAAAGAGAATATCAACTGGTTTGAACTGATACAGACCTCTGAGAAAATACACTTCCCAAGCGATCCCAGTGCAAGCTATTTCCAACCTTATCAAAGTAACCCAGCATGAAAGATACATTAAAAAAAAAAATCTCCGGAAAGAGTCTCAGAAATCTCATAGACCTCAGGTGGCTGGAAAACTCATTGTACAAATGATTGATTCTCTGGCTGATCCTCAGCACAGGGATTAAAAACATCTGCAAGAGGCAACATGCACCAGACAGACACGGATAGTATTTTCAGCCCCTAGCTGCAATTTACAGCAACAGAAACTTACATAGGACACCCGTGCTCGCCTCCGATGCACCAGCCCACAGCACCGCATGAAGAGCCGTGCAGAACGCAGTCAGCGTGTGGTTTCACCGAGCTGCACTGTGCCTCCTCTTCTCATCAGAGCCACTGTCCATTTCTCCCCACCTTCCACTCCCAGGTAAGAAGCATGGGCAAATCAACACTTAGCTTCTGCCTCCTAGGTAGTTTCTAAAGACACCACTCTTTCTGCAAGCATGCCCAAACTTTGTTTTTCCCTATTTTTTTTTTCTTTTTTTCGGGGAATCCGATCTCTTCTTCTTCAGGGAAGAAACTGACCAGAAATGTACCCAAAGTATCATTTATTTTCCTGAAATGACTCTTGCTAACTTACACTTGTGACTGTCCGGATCATCAGAGTTTCTTGGCAACGTTTTGACAGTAGCCATTCTCAACTGGGGAGCTTTTCAAACAGCAGAGAACCTTTGCATCTCACAAGCCTGCAGGCTCCTGCTTTTTTGCAAGAGGAGGCCTACTCCTGATGGTGTTTATGTGACTGCCTCGGAGAACGCGGCTGCTCCCGCGGCTGCTCTGCCATTATTGCCTTCCTCCCCACGCAGATTGGCAGCAGCATCCCTGCTTCAGGGTTGCCTCCGTATCACTTTGGGCATATCTGATCTGCGACTTCTCCCTCCTCCCTTTCCCCTGAAAAATTACAGAGTCTAGACTTTAATTCACTCCGGATTCCCCGGACTACACAACCACCCTCCAAATTGTCAGATGCTTCGTCTTGCAGTACGTGCTTCACATGAACTGTAGGAAGGAGTGACTTCAGAACCCAACACAGGCATCCACTATAATTACACAGATCTTTGTGCATTTTTTTTTCTCACTGCCAAAATGCTCATTTTCTACGTGAAAGCCCATTAAATAAATGTAACTCTGGCAAGCAAAACTGATCTGAGTCAGAGCTCATTAATTAATTAGCTAATATATCACCTATGATTTAGATACGAGAAATCCAATAAGCCTGCCTTCCAAGCCCGTGATCTCACAAATGAATATTCCTCCTAAACTGTAATTTACATATCTTTTTTTCTAAAGACAGTTTGCAGACAGGGAGTCAATCGCAACATTCTTTCTAAAAGGCCTTGTACACCTCATGCCTGAAAAGATGAATGACTATGGCATTTAGGGGTTAAACTATTCATTTATATGATATCAACCATTCTGATAAGCAATGATTCACGTAGCCACAGCTATCGATTCGCATTCACTCCCATGACCATGTCACTTCATATACTGTTGCCACTTGAGAAGATATTTTAACTATTTCATGTTACAAATTGAGAGCCCTCACCATTAAGCTCTTCAGGCAGATGGACTATGCAAGACTATTCTCAACATTTCATCATTCTTTTCTGAAAACCTATGATTTAAAGTAACAACTCTACTATTATTTATAGTCTATGCTATGATGATGAGGAAGAGGATATAAAGTAACAACTCTATATTATTATTTGTACCCTTGAGTTGAAAAAAGCCTGCCTTAGTTCAATGTTTTTATTTGACTAATGAAGACCTGAGGCTCCAAATGGTCAAGTGTTTTGTTTATAAATGAAAGTGAAGGTAAATTTGCTTAGTCCTGTCCGACTGTTTGCAACCCCATGGACTGTAGCTTACCAAGCTCCTCGATCTATGAAATTTTCCAGGCAAGGGTACTGGAGTGGGTTGCCATTTCCTTCTCCAGGGGATCTTCCCAACCCAGGGATCGAACCCAGGTCTCCTGCATTGCAGGCAGACGCTTTACCATCTGAGCCACCAGGGAAGCCTCTTGTTTATAAGTAGCATAAGCAATCATATTTTAAATAGCTAGTAATTTATACAATTGAAAAAGTTTGCAAAAATTCTGTGGTTTTATACTATACTGATTAATCCTCCATATAGCTGAAGATTCAAAAGGGAATCATGGACAGACTACAGACAATAAAGTTCCTTTTGGGAATATATCAGTAGACTACAGACAGACAATAAAGTTCCTTTTGAGAATATATCAGGAGCCCAAAGTAAAATAAAATTTCTGAATCATGTTGTACATTGCATTTTGAAGTAAGTCCTGGAAAAAAAATGAAACATTTTCTGGAACACATAAGACAGATTTACAGAAGGTAGGATATCACTCTGGTTTTTGAAATCAACTTTAGTGAGAAATATACCAAGTAATATAAGAGAATGTATCATTTGAATTCCAGCTTTTTCTAAGGACCCTGTATCATCCTCAACCAGTACACATATACTAGAATAAATGAATAAAAATAAAAAACAAACTCAAAGTTAGAATAAGAGGAAAACATTGGAAACTTGATCTCTTCCATGAATCTAATTTGGCATTCACTTAACTTCCTATCCACTATGATATTATTGTACACAATATGAGAGAGATCCACAGTTCATTAGAGATCCCACTCATTTTGCCATTCTAGAATCCACAAGAGGAGGCCAAACCCTAATCTGACTTAGGAAACACTGATAAAGCACCTCTGCTAATACTTGCTTGGCACTGTCCTAGGTGCCAGAGATAGAAAATAAACAAAATACTGTCCATTAATAACAAAGATAGGAAAAGAGAACACAGCCTCTGAGTGCTACGGGAATACCAACGATACAACCCCTACTTATCCCTGGAAGGAACACTGAAGGCTTATTAACAAAGGTGAGCTATTCTTTTTTTCTTTTTTAAGATTTTTTTTTGATGTGTACCATTTTTTAAAGTCTTTATTGAACTTGTTACAATATTGCTTCTATTTTATGTTTTGGTTTTATGGCCATGAGACACATGGAATCTTAGCTCCCCAACCAGGGATTGAACCTGCACCCCCTGCATTGGAGGGTGAAGTCATAACCTCTGGACATCCAGGGAAGTCCCTCTGGGCTACTCTTTGCAGAATGGGTAAAACTGCATTCAGTGGAAAATGGGGGCTGAAAGAATTCAGGCAAGGGAGCAGAAAATGCAAAACCACAGATTATATACAGAATACATACAGAATAAATCTTGTTTGTATAGGATGTAAAGAAGAATGTATATGGATTCAATATTTATGATACATTCAGACAATAGAGATTTATCCCAAATCTCTCCAACTGTACTGAGTTCTCTCCTAAGTTCACTCCTTATTTATCTCTCCATCCCTAATACTTAGTGTGGTAACACAGACATATCAGGTATGATGGAGATTTGGAGTCCACTCAACATGAATTCTTTACTTCATCCTGGGCAATAGAAATGGACCTGAGGCTCCTGGGCTAAGCCAGAGAAATTGTTTTCACAATTTGGTACAGCCAACCAGGTAACCAGCTTGTGTTTAGTGGGGTAGGAGCTGAAATAACATGTGCTACAACTTAATGCCTTCCCTTTTCTCGTTCTCCCTTTCTTGCTGTCTTGAATGGAGGTAAACTGCTGGGAGCTGGGACATCTGCCTACATTAAAGGATACTTCATGTTTAGAAGAAAAGAGCAACAAGACAGAAAGCCTGTGTCCCTAGTGCAGTGCAGCTGGCAAACCAGCCCTATGTCACGTACATTTGGACTCTTTCGTTTGTTTTTAACATTCCATTATTACCTTTTTATCAAATTTTTAAATTGAAGTATAGTTCATTTAGCTTCCTTGGCGGCTCAGATGGTAAAGAATCTGCCTGCAATGCAGGAGACCTGGGTTCAATCCCTGGGCTGGGAAGATCCCCTTAGAGAAGGGCATGGCAACCCCCTCCAGGATTCTTGGACTTCCCTGGAGGCTCAGACGGTGAAGAATTCGCCTGCAATACAGGTGACGCGGGTTTGATCCCTGGGTTGGGAAGATCCCCTGGAGAAGGGAATGGCAATCCACTCCAGTATTCTTGCCTGGAGAATTCTATGGACAGAGGAGCCTGGTGGGCTACAGTTCATGGGGTCACAAAAAGTTGAACACGAATGAGTGACTAACACTTATAGTTCATTTACAGTGTTGTGCTGATTTCTAATGTACAGCAAAGTGATTCAGATATATATATGTGTGTATGCGTGTGTATATATACATAAACACACACACATTCTTTTTTATACTATTTTCATAGGATTTTGAATAGGTTTTATCATAGGATATTGATATATCCTTTATACTTTAGCAGAGAACATAGGGTTCTCTGTGCTATGCAGTCATACCGTGTTGTTTATCCGTCCTACATACAAAAGCTTGCATCTGCTAACCCCAACCTCCCAGTCCATCCCTCCCATAACCCTCTCTTCCTTGGCAACCACCAGTCTGTTCTCTATATTCGTGATTCCGTCTGTTTCATCAGTTCATTTGGTACATATTTTTATTTTATAGTGGAGTATAAGTGATTTACAATGCTGTGTGAGTTTCAGATATACAGCAAAGTGATTCAGTTATACATATACAGATGGCTATTCTCTTTCAGATTCTTTTCCCATAAGTTTCTTGGGCTATACAGCACATAAAGGAGAAACAAACCCTATGCAGGCAGACCTCAGAGATACAGAGAGTTCACTTCCAGATCACTGCAATAAATGGCTAAGGTAGCAAAGTGAGTCCCAGGAGTTTGTTGGTTTCCTAGTGCGTATAAAGGTATGCTTTTACTATATTGTAGTCTATTAGGTATGCAACAGCATTATGTCTAATAAAACAATGTACATACCTTAAAATACTTTACTGCTAAAGAAAGCTAACTTTCATCTGAGCCTTCATTGAGTCAGTTGCAACATCAAAGAGTGTTGACCACAGATCACCATACCAGATAGAATAATAAAGAAAAAGCCTGCATAATGTGAGAATTACCCAAATGTGACCACCAAGACACAAAGTAAATGCTGTTGGAAAAATGGCACCAACAGACTTGCAGGCTTGCCACAAATCATCAATTTATCAAAAATGCCATATCTGTGAAGTGCAATACAGTGAGATCTGCTTATACTGTTTAAAACCCCAGCCATAGATGCTAAACCTGTATTTTAAAAGTATTGGATTGGACAGGAAGTTCCTTCAGGTTTTTCCATAAGATATTATAGGAAAATTCTAACGATATTTTTGGCCAACTAGTACCTCAAAGAGTTTCTGGAATAAATGCTAAATCCACAGACTGTGGAGGAGGTGAGGGAATGGGAGTGGGAACAAGTGACAAGAAGCCAGTCTTGTCAGGAGATTGGAACAGGAGACTGGGCTGGGATGAGACCATGGAAGTCTTTGAACATCACAGCAAAGAGTTTACACTTTATCCTGTAGGACACACAGAACCATCATAGCCTTTCAATATGAAATTTTCCGTGGTTCTATTAAGAAATAGGAAATTAAAAAAGCTCCATCCTGTTTGGCTGTAAAAACTAGTCGATCGCTCTCTATTAGTGAGAAATTTGAAGTTATTGAACTACTGTGGTTGTCTGCCATAAATGTCTGTCTACTAAATAATTAAATCAAACCAGGTCAATAAAACTAGTTATTGGGTTCATGTAGCCAAATCACAAACCTAATGAACTGTTAAATTTGCTAGGTTGTTAAACGTGAGATATATTAAAAGTAAAATATTAAAAAGTGACAACAAGCGGTAGAGTGACACAAGAAACTCACTCAGTAGAACTGCAAAGCAATGCCTCGGATGTCAAGGTAAGGAATCTGAAAAGTCCCAAGAGATTTATTTCTGGGCAGTCTTTATAAAGGATGAGAATTCAAGTTTATTTACTGGTCACTTTCTCCATTACTACTAGTTACGAGAGATAAAGTAGACAGAGGGTGTCCAATAGGATAAAGTGATGCTTTGGAGAAGCTCTTTGATGACAACGAATGAAACTGTATCTGGAGAAGCTTTCATAGAGGAGCTGAAGCTTACTTGTTGGGGCTGATGCTGCCTGAGTGCTTATGGCTCTTCTGTGGCTCTGGTTTCAGGAAATGAATGGCCCTCCTCTCACCAGACTGCAGCCCATATATGTACTCACTGAACTCTTCCTTCAGACTATGTTATTGTTATAACTGCAACCATTAAGAGTCTAACATGTTTTATTTTTTTAACGTGGGCCATTTTTAAAGTTTTTACTGAATTCATTTTAAGATTGCTTGTTTTATCTTCTGTTTTTTCAGCCATGAGGCATGTGGGATCTTGGCTCCCCAACCTGGGATCGAACCCGCACCTCATGCATTAGAAGGTGAAGTCCCCCAGAGCCTGGCGGTTCTTAAGTGCACCAAAAACTTCTCCACTATTTTTTTTTCTTTTAAATTAAAAAATTTTTAATATTTATTTTAAAAATTGAAGTGTAGTTGATTTATAATATTGTGTTAGTTTCAGATGTACAGCAAAGTGATTCGGTTATATATATTACTTTTTCAGATTTTTTTTTTTCCCATCCAGGTTATCCACTAATTTCATTAAAAACAGAAACAAAAAAAGAAGCCCAACATCTACATTCATCCATTCAGTCAACAACACCAATGGAGTGCTATTCGCCATGTGTGAGTGTCTGCTTTGGTCTCAGTGGATAAAAGGACTAGCGAAATAATTGTGGTCTTGGACTACAGGGAGGGAAAGACAAGTTGGATCCATAATCAGGTAAACATAATTAGACACCGGTA